CACAGACACGTAATCACCAGACAATGTGGTAACTACAATGTTACCATCATATGTGTGGAGTGGCAGGCAGTACAGGGAAGGAATACCTACCTGACCTTTGGGAAGAAGTGACACAGGTGATGAAACGTAAGGGTGATGAACAGGATTTAGCTAGGTGAGAGCCAGAGGTGGTATGTGCGTGTCTGTGGTTACGTGACATTCCAGACAGGGAAGAGCAGGTGAGTGAAGGTGAAGTGAGATACTGCAGAGTATGTGAAGGACCACAGGGCATCTAGGAAAACCGAAATCGCTAGGATATGGACTGAAATGGGTGCATTAGATTTGCCAAGGTGGCGGTCAGTGGTGACCTTGGCCAGAGATTTCAGTGGGGCTGTGGGTAGAGGCCACGTTCCCAGTAGTTTAGGAGAAAACTAGGTCAGCGGGAAGACAGTGACTGTTCATTACACCCCAGAAAAGCCTATGGAGGCAAAGTCATCATATTGGTGGTTTTCTCTTTTACATGACCTAATAGAAGCTGCCTGAAATGACTGGGATTGTTTTTGACTGTATTTCTGACGTTGATAGCACGGTATTGTTGACTGCAGTCACCGTGCTGCGCATGAAATGTCCAGGCCTCACACACCACCTAACTCCAATGTGGTGAGGTCGCTAAGAGACTAGAGCTTAAAAGTCCCATCACAGAGAGAGACGGTAACTCTGTGACAAGATGGAGGGGCTAGCCAGGCTATGGTGGCAATCATAATGCAATAGATCAATGAATCGATGACACGCTGTGCACCTCATGTTATGCAGTGTCATGTGCCAATTATATCACAGTAAATACTAGAAAAATAGAAACATGTGCAATCAAGCTGGTTTAAGAGGGAAAAAATCCTGCACTTTGAAACTATTAATACTTATTATCTCTGAGCTTAGATTGCTTATCCACACGCCTTGTTTCCCATTTACTTATTCCCTAACACTGGCTGATCCCCCAACTACAGGCCAGGTACTGTGCCTGCTGCTGAGGCCACAAAGAATAGGACCCCGTCCTTGACCTGAAGGCTTCGATCTAAAGGAGGAGGGAGTGCAGAGAACGTTAAAGACACCCCATGGGACTGTGAAGACCCTGCGGAGGAGCCTCCCCTTCCTGGACCACTCCTGTGACCACAACCCATGTGTTTATGGTGGAAATAGCTGTTTGTTCCACAGGCTGTGTCCCCTGTAGAAATAGCCTCCCTTTCTGCTGGTTACCTCCTCATAAAACCGCCCATGAGCTTCTCTGGCATGGTTCAACCCACGCTAAGAAGGTGACCACAGAGTGCCCTGTCTGAGTCTCTGTTATAACACTTAGCAATCCTTTTGTTATTCATCTGCTTTGTTGTCTGCTTTATTTTACTGAGTAATAAGCACCTAGCAGGAGTTGAGACTCAGCAGACGTGTAACAAATGCCTTGAGAATCAAACTTGAATGAAGAAGCTAACTTCTAAACGTCCCTACTCTTTTTGTACTTGCTAACATGGTTGACAGTACAAATACTATAACATACAACTACAATCAGTTAAATATATTATTGGTTATAAGTGATGAGACAAATAAAGAGTTAACGGAAGTGGGTTGTGGGCTCGCAGGATGGCATGGGCAAGGATTTAACGGGAGCGGGCTTGTGAGCTGGCAGGAGCGAGCTTAAACATTAACCGCTTGGCTCTGACTGGCCTGCACTGCACCTGCAGGCTGACAAGCACCTCACATCCATCATAGGAGGGAACAGAAGAGTTCCCAGGAGAAGACAACTGTAACAGCAGCCCCCCTGCAAGCTGACAAGCACCCTGCATCCTGCTTAGAAAAATATAAAACCCTAGCACTTCTCCTCTCTGGGGCAGCTGTCGCTATCGGGCTCTGCCCTGGCAAAATTCCCTTTGCCGCAACTCTCTTTAACTTTCAATAAATCTTTTCTTACTCTTACAGAGTCTCATAAATTCTTTACATTCTGCAAATGACCAGGGGTTAATTCTATGCCAGGACAATTACCACAAACAATATACATGCTGAGACAAAGATAAGACACCAACCTTTGGAAAGAAGGAAACTCAAGTTTAATTTCAGCTTCTCAATGAAAGTAGATATACTGCTCCTCTGTCTTCTTTAAAACAGTCCCCAGCAGTTATAGACTTTTATAGCTTATTGAACTATTTAATCCTCATTGATTTATATAATCCTCTCCCATGACTCCTCCAGTTTGGGTTAAAAAAAAATTACCATGAGCCTTTTAGGGAAGGAAACATGCCTATTTTTTTTTCTATTTTTTCAAAAGGGGTCATGCCTGATTTAATGGGATTTACAACACCTGCAGGTGTTGATGTGCAGTAATGTTTAATAGCAACTGGCACATTGTAAAGATCATTCAAATGAAATCATTTGCATTGACTGGGGAAAGTATGAGAAATATTTTGGGAAATAAGGAGCATTGTTAATTCACTTCTCATAATTTGAAACATTTTTATCACTTCAGATAATTTTATGTTAAGAAATTTTTTAATGAAAATATTCAGTTAATGCTTCTAATTTTTATAACAGAAAACAGGCTGTAGCATACAAAATATAAGAAATATATCAAATAGTTATAAATTATAATATTTGGGTGATAAAATTAGGGTGATGATGTTTTAACCTTTATACCTTTCTATCTTTAAAAATACATGCATGGAACAAATAAAAAATGCTTGTTTCCAAAATCCCGCAGGCTTTGGGCTCTCAGTCATAACCCAGGAAGAATTCTAGGCTGAAATCTTTGAGTTGGAAGGGAACTTAGAGGTCATCCAACCTAATCTACCTAGTGTAGTTCTCCTTAGAGTAACCTCACCTGTGTTTATCGGATCTTGACTGCATGTAGTGATGAGACTGGGATTGTTTCATAAGGAGTACATTCCATTTCCAAAAAGTTCTAGTCGTTAGAAAGTGCTTTCTTACCTTCCATGGATTAACAACTACTTCTCTAACTGATATGTAATAGTCCTCATTATGTACTTCCACTCTGTTTTCTATGTGATGAATCTTTTTTTTTTAAAAAGATTTTATTGGGGAATCGGGGAAGGGGAACAGACAAGTTGCTGTTCTTTTGTTCTGCAGTCTAGTTGTGGAGGATGTTGCTTCACTGGCCCATGTTGGTATTGTGATCATTGCACTCTTCCCACATGAGGCAGATCGGTCGCCGACCATTAGATGGCTGTTCACAGCAGCTCACCACAGTTCACGGCAGGTCATGGCAGCTCTTGCTGGCTGCCAGCTGCTCATGCTGGCTGCCAGCCATTTACAGTAGCTCACAGCAGCCCTGCTCCAGGTAGAGCTGTTGTTCACAATCTTAGCTGTAGAGGGTGCAGCTTACTGGCGCATGTGGGAATCGAACCAGCAGCCCTGTTGTTCAGAGCTCACACTCTTACCAACTGAGTCACTCGGCCGGGCCTATGTGCTGACTCTTGAGACAGCTGTCACACTCTATCTACATTTCTCTTTAGGAAATTTTCATGGTCCAATAAACTGTTCTCCTTAATGTGGTGTACGATACAATACCAATTCTGGTGCTAAATAAATACTTATTGAATTGACCAATACAACTTGGTAACTAGATCAGTTTATCAACTTAGTTACCATCCTCTGAACTAGGAGAGTTAAAACCTGCCATCCAAACCTTGAGCACTTGGTTTCAAAGACAATAAACTCATTCATTTCCTGGTTCACATGTGAGCATACTTACCTTGGCTGCATCACTTGGGGACTGATGGAGGAGTGGGAGAGGAGGAAGGCAGTTGGAGCTTTCCTTTTTTTTCCATCCATTCATCCACTCTGAGTCTTTTGATTGGGAGAATTTAATCCATTTACATTTAACATAATTAGTGCTAGGGAAGGACTTGCTGTTGCCATTTAGTTAATCATTGTTTGGAAGTTCTGTTCCTTTCCTCCTCTCTGGTCGTGTTCTTGTGATTGGATAATTTCCTGTAGTGGTGTGCCTGATTCCTTTGTCTTTTGTGAATCCACTCCCTACTTTAACACTCTGGGATTTTCTATATATTTAGAGAAGGCTGACATTTTATTCCGCTTTATGAATAATAGTATGACCCTTAATTTATTCCTAGTTGTATTATATATATTAGTCTGTCCTTTATTGTCTAACCAGGGATCTGTAAACTTTTTTGTAAAAAGGCAGATAAATATTTTAGCAGTTGTGGGCCATGTGGTCTTTGTTAAAACTACTCAACAGAAAATAGCCATAGACAGCATGTAAACAGATGGGCATGGCTCTGTTTCAATAAAACTTTATTTATAAGGATAGGCAATGGACTGGGGCTGGATTTGGCTAGTGAGACATAGCTTTCCATCCCTTGTTCTAGCCTTTTGTGTGACTTTGTTTTATCTTCAATAGTTAGACTTTGTCTTAATTCAACCAATTTGAGAGTTTAACCCACCGACATTTATTTTCAGATGCTAAGTTTGGACTTTATATTCTTCATTGTATTTTACAGCTTGTGTTTTCTTAAGCTATCCATATTTTTTCCTTAGCTATGTGGACAATACTTTGATTTTTCTCTTCTGGGTTTTTAGTCTCCACCCCAGCGTTGACTCAGCGCCCCGCCTTAGGTCAGACAGCTTACCATATCTGTTTGGTTTCTTAAGGATGAAAAGAGATTAAAACTTTCACTTCTGAAAGAGTTTTATACAAAGCATGATCTCATGTCAAAAATTATATATACTATACATGTAGTTACTATTTCTTTGAAATAGATGCCATGAATGATTCAGGATCAGCATGTAGTAAGAAAACAGATTTCAAAAGAGCTTTCCATTTGCACTGAACCATTCCTGCATACTCAGGTTCAGGTATTCATTGTGACTTCCACCGANTTTGGTACTGAATGTTAGCAGAGACATTTCATTAACTCTAGTCGTGAAGTTGATATGCAAGTATTTTGCTCTGTATGATATTTGGTCAGTACTTTTCTAACAATCAGATTTTTAGGACATACCTGGGAAGGACTGAAGTGGTAAATAGGGGTCTGTGTGATGTCCACTGCAGACCAAGATCCCATCAAATACCAAAGTCTCCTGCTTCTCATCTGACTCCACAACAACATCCCATTGTCCAGTGAAAGAAAAATCTGGGCGTTTCCTCACACTTAGTACTTTGGTCTGAGAACAAGGACACAAGCACAAGTCATACACATTCATTGTCATTGGGTTAATTCCTCCATCCCCCCAAACCTGTAAACAATATAACTCAACTGAGGCATTCATCTCATTCAGTCTCCTCTCCTGGGTATTCCCATCATGACCTTGTGTAGGTGCATGCTATGGCCTGGATGTTCCAAAATTCATATGTTGAAATCCTAACCCCTGGGAGTAACAGGATTAGGAGGTGGGGCCTTTGGGAGGTGATTAGGTCATGAGGATGGAGCCCCCAGGAATGGGATTAGTGCTTGTATAAACGAGATCCCACAGAGCTCTCCAGCCCCTTCACCATGTGAGGTCAGAGAGCGAAGACACTGGCTCTGAACTTGGAACAGGGCCCCCACGCATCATGCTGGCATCCTGATCTCAGATCCAGCCTCCAGAACTGGGAGAAATATATTTCTGTTGTTAGAAGCCACCCCATTTCTGCCATTTTATTATAGCTTCCCAAATGGACTGAGAAAATGGATTTACAAAATATTATAGGTAGTTCATTAAAACCTTAAATTTCCATAGAAATAAAATAGTTGCGGCTTAACTGTGAAAAAACAAAGAAGTGACAAAAGCCACAGGAACAATATCCTGCTTACAAGAAGACGTCCTAATGAAAGAGAATATATTCCTGGTATTACAGGTTTTCACGCTGTAGCACAGGCCTGTCCAGTTTCCTTCGGCTTGACTTTGGAGTTCCAGAGACAGTTCATGCTCCACCATGACTGTTGGGGTGGATTTTTATGTGTGTTGACGGTGATGGCTGTAGACAGATTGTGGGAACTACATGGGTCTGCAAAAGTCTTCCACATGTTGTATCCATGACCCTGGTTCTATATAATCTGGCTCCATTACTAGTGCCATTATTAAAAAATCCTTAAACACTTTGAATTTAAGGCTAAAGAGAGGACCCTTGACATGGCACATCAAGGTATTATCATGATCAGCAAACTCTCCAACCTCACATTCAAGTGTAATCTTCAAACATTATTTCATTATAAGTGATAGTTTTCTAAGGTGGAAGCTCTCTAATGATCTTCTCTGATCACACCAGGAGATGGCAAGCACAGCTCTCCTGTGTGCAGAAGTGAATGTTTCTGTACACGCGCACGCGCACGCACACACACACACACACACACACACACTCATACACTCATACTCACTCATGCTCTCCCATGTTCACACAGTGCAGTATTGCACTATATTTTACCTGAAAACGAATGTACTTCAGGAGGCCAAAGTGTCTGGCATACATCCTGATGTAGTCCATGAGTTTGGAGTTGTGCATGTAGTTGGGAAAATGGTCGGGGATGGGGAAGTCACTGAAGCATGTCATCTCCTTGGAGGTGTTGATGGTCACAGACTTGTAGATACTGGGCATTTTCTCTGAAATATTTTCCTACAGGAGAAAAACCTCTCTTAATTAAGTAATCCTTGTGATACCAAGAAAATCAAAACTAAAATACTTTAATGGAGAAGGATCATCACAGGTATAATAAAGTAGTTCTTTGCCTGTTGTTTTTTCAATTAATATTTTCTCCCTCAAGGGAAAAGTTACATTGAGTGAACAGCAGGGCTTATGGTGAGTTCTTTTTAAAAATAACAAAAGCCAGAAGCAATGGGAGGGTATATTTAAAATAAAGGCTGAAATAAAAATATGTGCACCTAGACTTTTATACCCAGTGAAAATATCCTTCAAAAATGAAAGTAAAATGGACACTTATTCAGAGAAACAAAAGCTGAGAGCATTTATTGCTAGCAATCCAGCACTTGCAGAAATGCGAAAGGAAATTCTTCAGGCCGAATGGGAATGAACCAAAATGGGAGCATGTGCAGACACAGGAAGGATAGACAAGCACTAGAAATAATAAATATGTGGATAAACGTGAAATCTATTGACTGTTAAACCACAATAACAACAACGATGTCTTGTGTGGTTTATAACATTTTAAAGAAATACAGTATTTCATAACACAAAGGATGGGAAGTAGTAAATCAAGTTAAACTGTAAGATCTTTGCTTTATTCAGAATGTTGGAAAAATACAAGTATATGTAAGAAGTAATAGGTCAATATACATATTGAAATTTCTCAGTTAATCATTAACAATATAAGAATGGATATCTAATAATGTATGAGAAAAAGAGAGAAGGAAAAAACACTTGAGAAACACTAAAAGAAAGAAGGAAATGAGGACTGAAGAAACAACAAATATAAAACAAATTTTAAAATGCCAGGTATTTAACTAAAACCCATCTATATTCATATATTCATTTCATATAAACATTCCAATTAAAACAAAAATCAAAATACATGACAAAAATCTTTATGTTGTTTACAAGAGACAAAGTTAGACAGAAGGATTGGATATATCATGCAAACAAAACCAAAAGGCAGCTGGAGTGGCTGTATTAGTATTAGACAAATTAAACATGGCAGGATTAGCGATAAGGAGGGAGAGAGCATAATGATATAAAGGTCAATTGTACATCAGAAATAAAATTTAGATATGAATTTACCGAGTAACATAGTTTCTAAATACATAAATTAAAAATTAACAGAATTCAAAGGAGAAATAGACAAACCCATGCCCATAGCTAAAGAATTCAAATTGCCCCACTAAGTAATTAATTGAACAATAGGACAAAAAATTGGGAAAGACATAGGAAATTGAAGAACTCAATTAAATAACTTAATTGACATAAATAAATGAATAAACCCAGTAAGTTTAGACTACACGGTCTTTAGAAGGGCATATGACCTACTTACCAAACTAGGCTGGGTCATTTAAAAAGTCTGAACAAATTTCAAAGGATTAAAATCTGTGCATATTCTCCAAACACAGTGGAATTAAATTAGAAATCAATAAGAGGAAAATAACCAGAAACACCCCACACACTCCAGTATTTAGAAATTTAGCAACACATCTAAATAACCCTTATATCAAAGAATATAGCACAGGGATATTAGGAAATTGAACTGAACAGTTAAAAAAGATAATACATCAGACCTATGGATGAAACAAAATAGTGAGTACAGGATAATTTAAAGCTTTGAATGGGTATATTACATAAGAAAAAAGTTACATATCAATATTATAAGGTCTAAATCAAGGACTGAGATAAATCACACCAAAAAAACCAGAAATGTAGAAAAAGAAAATAATGAAGATATGAGCAGAAGCCAATGAAATACAACTTAGATATACAGTAGAGGAAAAGTACACGTCTAGAAATTTGTTCTTTTAGACTACTAATAAAATTGATAAACCCTAGCAATATTGACCAAGAAGAAAAAGAGAAAATATAAATTATCAATATCAGAGATAAAAATGGAAATATATATATATATATATATATATATANTCTTTCTCCACACCTCCCGTTCAGTCCATCTTCACATCCTTCCAGATCCTCCAAACGTGAGCAGAGTCTGACCACTTGTCAACCGTCCTGCCCCCGTCTTCTCGCTCCTCGATCAGTGCCATGTGCTCCCACCCCAGGCTCCTGCCCCCCCCCACTTTCTCTATGGCCTGTTTCCCAACTCCACAGTTAGAGTCACCCCACCGAACCCCGAAGTCATTCATCCACTCAAAGTTTTCCAGTGACTCCTCGTGTCACCAGGAGTAAGTGAGGCTCCTTACATTGGCCCTCATCTGCATAATTGGCAAATTGAGCTAAATAAGTCCCACAAGCATTCTTACCTCAACATTCTTTCGTCCCTAAACCTCTGTTCCTGAGGTGTCTCCAGGCTTTACTCTCGATCTCTGTCCTTTTTAAACGTCCGTCATTTGCTCATCAGTTCTGCCAGCAATGGGTCACACTGTGGGCTGAGCACTGGGGTTATCTGGTTAAATAAGACAGTTCCCTGCACTTGGACTCTGTGTGCGGGAGAAGAGTGGAGTGAGGAGAGGCAGCTCGTACACATCGACAGTGGGACACTTGTCCCATGTGTCCAAACAGAGGGCAGAGCACTGAGTGCATGTTGGGCCCCGGCGGGCGCTGGTGGGGAAGGTGGCAGAGGAGAGGGCTGGGGTTCATGCTTAACGCACGCGAGGTCCAGAAGCGGAGCCTCTGAGGAGAAGGCTGGCGAACAACAGGTCTCTACCTCTGAGCTGTGCCATAGCAAGTGCTCTGCTGGCGCCAGGCCTGAGGCCCAGCCGCTCTCTGCCACAGAGAACAGGAGGCTGTGTTCTCCAAAAGGCCTACCTCGTTACAGGAGGAGTCAGCCTGGCTTGATGCCGCCACGGCCCACGAATGAAAAGGATTGCTGGCTAAGCACTCCCCGCCCAGTTCTCCGGAGAACCACCTTCCAATCACCCGTAGCCGGTGTGCCTCTTGGGGGATTTCCCCAGGAAGCCTACATGAGCCTCTGTGTGCCCTTTTTGGGGCTGAGGCAAGGGGAGGATGTGAGAATTGTGAGGCAACAAATGAAGACTTTGCTTTCCCTTCTGACACATCCAGTATCTTGGCCACACCGTGAACTTGCTGACAGATTATTTCTCTATTATATATCTAAGGGCCTGGCTTAGCCAACCTTCTGCCTCCACAGAACCATCTTGCTGCATAAACAGAACTCCTTTTCCCTGCATGGCAGGGAGTGGACCACAGTGGGGGAGGGGAGGAGGTTCAGGTCGCCCTGCACGTGCATCTAAAGCNTCAGTACTGCCTGACCATGGCCCAGCACAGAAGATCTCAGCACAAACCAAAAGGACTTGGTTGATTGAGTTCAGGACTCCATGTCCTACTCCACAGTCAAGGAACCCCCAGAAGAAAAGAGGGTGTCTACAGGTCTAACACAGAAAGCAAAAGAAGTAAATTCTTGGGTGCAAAGAAAGGAGTAGGCAGAGTGCTGACCTAGCGTTGTTTTCAGACTTGACGGGGCTAAGTGATGCAGTGTAGGAATCGAAGGTGCGAAGACCCACAACGAGCGAAGATGCTGATAGGGTTGTGGAGTCTGTGAGAACACCTCCAGCTGTCCTGTTCCCAGCATCTCATCTGAGCTTGTTTTCTTAGCAGATGCACAAACATCTGAGATGCCTGCTGGTTCAGGTCAAAATGGGAGGAGATCCACAAATGGCATCCAGCCCAGACTCCCATATTCCTGTTCTCAGGCGCTGCTGACTCACATGTGCTTCAGAACTGATGAAACATAGATGGGAAGCTTATGTATAAAAGTTTTCCCTTCTGTTTAGTGATAATAAATTGTGACATTATAACATCTCAATAGGTTTACACGAAATCTCATTAGCCCTTTAAAATCATGGCCAGTATTTCTTCAGGTAATTTACACCAGTGAGTCTATGGAGTGGGTGATGTGATTATTACAATTAACTAAGAACAGACAAGGTAAAGAGTCTCTGCACTAGGGGTTGAGTGGTTCTGGAATATGGAGGAGGTGAAGTCCCTAGAGCGGTACCTTTAGTTCCTTCAAGACCTTCTGAAGTGGGCATTAGAATCCCTGAGGGGCTTCAAGTAAATGTGAATGTCTGCCCTTTACCCTCTATTTACTAAATCAGAATGCCCTAGGGAGGAGTCCAACATCGATTGTTTTTATTAAGCTACCGAGGTACTAGCGATCTCTATCCCTAATAAGCCAGTAGCTACAGGTCATCAGATACTTCCTGAGCTAAGGACACTGTGAGGGGTAAGCACTTCTCCCACATCCGGAGTGCCATTCAGACCTCACAGGAGTTCTGGAAGTGGGTTTTATTACCCCCGGTTCACAGATGAGCAGCAATTCAATAACATGTGCACGGCCCCCAAGGTCACACACTTATTAATTGCTGAGACCTCCTGGGAACACAAGCCTGGCAGAGGCCCAGCCTTTGCCAGTGTCCGGCTTTCCGGTGTTTCGGGCAGGTTTAGGACAGAACTACCACCGTGTATTGAAAGGCGCAGTACACGGAGACCAAGCCACAGCCCCTCCAAGCAGGTCAGTGTCACCCGACTGCCCTCTATTGTGCGATGCTTTGGAGCCTCACGCCCTCCTGAGGCAGTGTCGTCTCATGGTCCACTAGACATGTCCCCGTCTCCCTGCTGCTGGCTTCCCATTGTGCTGTGCCTTTCATTTCTTACGTGCAGTAGGCTCCCCTGTCTGTGTGATACTCCTTGTCCCGGCAGCATCGGCACTGAGAGGGGCAGAGACTGCTCTGCACACAGACCAACATTGGGGAGCACAAGAGGGGTCCCCGTTCCATGCTTCTCCTGCTGGGCATGCCTCCTCCCTGTTTAAGGCAGGTAGCTTCTGGGGCTTCCAGTTCTCCTTACCCTAAACTTAAACTCTTACTTATGGTCTAACAAAGACCTAATTGATCCTCTTTTAAGATGTGCTGCTCAGCCTCATTGGACTGAGATTTTGTGTTTTTCCATTCAAACACCGGTTAATACTTTGCGAGGCATTGCTGCCCGGAGGTGGACTGCTGTGCCCACTTTGGCTGAGACCCTGGCTTGCTCTTTCTAGCAGGATGACATCCACCTGGTGCTGTCTGAACATCTGCCCAGGAGACACTGAGGACCCTCCACATGCAAAGCCATGTGTGAGACGAGCATAGGACAGAGAGGATGGCCTTGTCCCGCTGTCTCTCACCCAGGCCTGCGGTTGGAAGTGTGGCTTGGCTCGTGGTGTTAGCCTCTTAGCGTTCTCCTCTGTCTTCATCTGTAAAGCACATTTTCTGCCTCCTACCAGTGTTTGCCGTACTTTTTTTCCAAAAAGCACTAAAACCTTGGATTGCAAGTAACGTGGTGTGAGAGTGTTCCGCAAGACGAGCAAACATTTCTATACATTTTAACATGGTAAATGAGCGATGTCTTGCAATACGAGTAGTTCGTTTCTGGAATGAATTATGCTTGCAAACCAAGGTATTACTGTACTTGCATAATTTCCTACTTTGCTTAAACTCTGACTTCAAAATTGTACCCTGTAAGGTGTTTCTGTAACATACATGAATTTGGTGGTTGAGGACTTTGATTTAATTCAGGGCATTATTCCCTGAGCGTTTTCGTTGTACCAAGCATTCATAAGCTCTTTGTGGGCATAATCTCATTTAATCCTCACAGTGACTCAGTTACAAAAAGCCTTGCTTCCATTTCACAGACAAAGAAAGAGGCTCAAGGACGGTACATTGTCCAGTGCATGTTGCAACCAGGGTGGAAACCGTTGACTGACTTCAAAATCCCTCTTGATTAGTCTGATTTATCAGCCCTGTCACCATTGGCGTGGTGGATTAAGTAAATGGCCATGATTCCTTATATTTCTCCTCTTGAGAGGTGGGAACTATGCCTCCCTCCCCTTGAACCTGGGTGGGCTTGTGACTCACTTCTAACCCACAGAAGGCGGGGGAAATGAATGCATGATTTGTAAGGTGAGGTCATCAAAAGGCATGCAGCTTGTCCGTTCACTGGGACACTCGTTTGGGGCTAACTCGTTACATGGCGACAGTAACTGGAACAATTGACCACTGTAAACCTGTGCAGACATCTTTCTCCACTCCCCCCATGGAAGCCAGTGTTTCCACTTTTAGTTCTTTATCCTCCCTTTCCCTGAAATCCTGACTCCAGATAAGCTCTACTCAGCCTTCAGGATCCAGCTTTGGTGTCACTACTGCAGAGAACCCTCACTGCCAACTCGGCCTCTTTCGTCTGCCGGCCACTGTGAGGCAGTGATGATGTGGGAAACGTACCCCCCAGCTCCCCGCTCATCAGGAAGATCCTCCAGGGTATGGCTGGTTCATCTTTGATTTCCATACCTTTGGGGTCCAGAATAGTGTTAGCACACAGTACACACTCAACAAAAATGATGAGTTAATGAATAAATGATTAATTATTGAGAGTATGAATGAATAAGTAGACATAGTGATTGTAATATGGGAAATTAACAGAATGCAATCTCTATACCAAGCAAATTGGAGAGGAAATACAATCTTATAATGAATTTTAATTATAGGCATCAGTGTTCAGATAGCTCCTATAAGGAATTCAGTGTTTGGTGTTAACAGTTTAAAACAAGTGCCCTATGGTTAACCAATAATTTCGAGATGTGATGAAATGCTTGCCTTTTGTATACATAACTTCAATTAAAAGAGATCAAAGTATGAGTAGATCTTTTTACATGTTGCAAGCCACAATTTTATGTCTGCAAAAAAAGACTGGGGTGGATTTCATAATATTGTTTATAAATATTTCTACCAGTGCAGTAGATTGTAGAAAAGAGAATCAACTGGAAATTATATGACCTAAAGTATAACACCTGCTCCTGATAGATTCCCAACAAATATTTGTTGAATTGAATTCAGTTGAATTGAGTTGAGGTGAGTTGAATTGAGTTGAAATGAGTGAATTTTACCGAATGAAATGACTGTCAATTTGCACTCACAAGCCCATCCAAACGATTGTATTTGCTACTGGACCATTCCCATCAGCTAACAAATTTGCTGTTATTTCTCTCATCAAAAACAGAAACAAAAAGCAAAACACCTTTGTTGACCTC